CTTTAGAAAGTCCTTCTAAGTATAGGGTAAGGAAGAGAGTTGCCTGTCTACCGCTGCTCCATTGGAAGTCAGATCTTCTGGTTGCCTCTGACGTCAGAGACAGTTTTCCACGAAGCTTATATCTATTTGTCGCGTTCATCATCTCCTGAAGAAGAAGAAAGGGGGTGGATTCTTGGATCAAATTGTATTTTAACCGACTTTTTGGAAACGTTCTGACTCCTATGATCGGATTCGTTGTAGTTGCTGCATCTGGGGGCCTTGACCACCTACTTAGGCCGGTGATGATTATTAATTCCTAACGACTTGAATTCAGTATTGCTTGCTGAAACTAGAGTGAAAAGTAGTTCAGTCGCGGTTTTTCTTCTGATTTCGTAAAGTGCAGGTTTTTTACTCTCGGTAGATTCCTCGAAAGTCTCTATAAGTTAGGAACGTGGGCGTTTCTCTAGGCTGGGAGATGGCCCTATTTTTAGCCTTATATAAGCACAACTTTTTTTCCGAAATAGCATTGCATGCTCCCGTCAGCGCTGAAAATTCCTTCTGCTAGCTTGCTATCAGTTTGCCGCCCAACATCAATCGTGACATTTTGTGTGTAACTGAGTACAAACATTGATTAAGCATCTTATTTCCTCTTCTATAGCCTTTACTACCTATCGCACTTTTATTCATGTCCCCCTCTCTCCCCTTCTGTGGATTTCAAGGAAATAAAAGATTTCCTGGAAAGAGAAATAATCATCAAACACAAGACTGGAGCATGGTTGACGAAAGACTTCCTGTATGCTCAAGTTTCTTCTGTTTTCGTGCTGGCGGCAGCTATGGGAGCCTTCAGTTGCGGATGGGTTGCAGACTTTCTCGGACGGTAAGCTCGTCTCTTTCTCTCCCAGAGAATTGGTCATCTTTTTTTGCCAATATATTTAATCCCCGTAGGTTATGCGGTGTATTCGCCACACAGCACAGACTACGTTCAGAAAGGTTTTCGTTGGCTGGAATTTCAATCCAAGTTTTAGAGAATTTCCTGAAATATTCAAAATCGGTGAAAGTCGGCTGAAGGTTAGGCTTATTTTCGCGGTGCGGCTGTCAGAGACGGAAATGACATCCCTGTACCAAAGATGGTTCTCCTAAACGAGAATTTTCAGAGTATTGAAAAAAGATGCGCTAAGAGTTGTGCAACATATTTATATCACCTAAACTAGTGAATATCGCTCAGAAAAATTCAGTTTGCAGGAAATGTTTGTAAAGTACCACGTGGTCATTCTTTTCAGTTCACTCAAGGAACTAAAATAGTTTTTATTCGCGCGATAAGATTTTGTGGAACTACGAAACCCTTCAATGGATTCTGCTGACAACAATCAAAGTGCCATCTGCAAACATTTAGGTCCAGCGGCTTAGCACCGTGTAGTTGGCCTTGATACTTTACGCTTATATCGTCAGTAACAGTGACCCCCCAGTTTCCAAGGTGATGAACTATTTATCACCCGCGTGCGTGCGGTACTTAACGGCACCGCGATGCTCGCCTACTGGCTTAATCATATTGCCGGAATTTTATAATTATATCACTGTAGACTGCTTTTTATTACTTTATGTCATGTTATTTATTTCTGTTTTTGCTTTATATCTGTATCTTTTCCTATTCTATATTATCGTTTAACGTATACCCGACTATAAAAATTCAGATTTATTGAAATTCCCGAAAAGAAATGGTGCTTAGGAGGTCGTTTGCCTCAGCTTGCCTGGAGTCTAACTTACCGTGCTGGAGTTAGATTAGTATAGTCCGCGGTGCGAAGCGCCTCGCACACCTTCAATTTACATTTACCACAAAAGTACCGCATGCGGGTGATAAATAGTTCATCTCGTTTCTAAGGTCTTATTCTGATGTCAATCTCGGAGATAGAAAGGTAAACCGAATAAACTAACTTCTGCACAGTGCTTGATTATTTTGTCAGATGTCATTTGCAGTCTCTCTCTCTCTCTCTCTCTGATGGCGCCAGTTAGCATTAGTGGCGCAAGGTGACAGCCTAAGCTTCGTTCTGTGCGCACATTTCTACTTATTGCTCTGCCGGCTATTTACCTACAGATTGGAATTTCTGATTACTGTTAGATACACTGACCCGCTAACAAACTTGTTCCAGAGTGCTTTTCCCGCTTTCTTAGATCAAACCGTGTGACTGTGACCATTCAAAGCTTCATCCAACGCAACTAGCCATCGGTAGATAGGCGAACACCCTGGAACAAAAGGTCTATTGGCCTGACGTTCGTGACTCTCGTTTGAACCCGTCAGTGTAGGCTGTCGCAGATAAGACTGATGATGGTTTCGAGTAAGAATCCGTAACGTCAGACCTATAAACTTCTTGCTCCAGCGATCACGTAGGCTCCCACTGAGTTGCTTCCTATAACTTCTCATCGTTTTTAGACTGAGGTTCACGTATTCTATTTTCGAGTAAACAGGGTGCAGTTGCCATTCATTTATGGAGCGCTTCATAAGCCACAGGTACTAGGCGCTATGGTATTTAGATAACACATTTTCGACAGTTACAATGCTCCTATAAGTGTTATTTCTTGATTTCATTTGACCCAATTGTGAAAAACTCAGGGACTTCGGTGGGATTCGAACTCACGCCAGCAAGTGGAAGGTTTTAATACAGCCAGTGTTCTAGCCACCTGAGCTACGAGGTCCCCACCGAGAGCTCTTATTTACAACACAATTGAACCCAAGTTGGCATGGGTTCTGATCCCACCAAAATTGCCGGGTTTTACACAATTGGGTAAAATGATTTATTCAAATCTGCCAAAAACCTCTAAAAATCATTTTTTAAGTTTTTAAACAATTTTCTATGAATTTTCGACTTCCCACTCTGCACACTTTCACAGAAATGCGTTTGAGTAAGCTGAGAATCAAGCATCTCTCGTGTAAAAATTAAGGCAAACCGGATTAATTACGCATTGATTTTGAAGAGGAGCAACCCGTTGAATAGTCCTTCGGAAATTTACCTTCCGCTTCCCTAATTAGAAGGGTGGCCCGATTTCGGCTTCCTGTGGCTTACGGTCTCCCTTCTTCCTCTAGACGAAATAGTTTGCTGGTCAACAACCTGATCGGCATTGTCGGATCTGTGCTCAGCGGCTTGTGTGTTGTCGTCGGACATCCAGCTCTCCTCTACGTGGGTCGATTCTTCAGCGGCATCAACAGTGGCATCACTATTGGCGTGGCATCCATCTACCTGACGGAAATCGCTCCGCGAAAATTGCGCGGTATGATCGGCGCCTGCCACCAGTTGGCTGTCACCATGGGCATTTTTGTGGCCTACCTAGTAACCCTGACGCATGCACTGAATGACGCACAAAAGTGGCCACTTGCCATCGGCATCGGTGCCATTCCCCCAGTCATCTCCTGCATCTTCTTCCCCTTCTGTCCGGAGAGCGCCCGCTACATCTACCTGTTGAAGAACCGTGAGGAGGAGGCGCGTATTGCCTTCCAACGCGTGAATGCCAGCGAAAATGTGGATATGTTTATCGCGGAGATGCGAGAGGAGGCGGATGTGGCGCGAAATCAACCCAAGTTCAAATTCATCCAGCTCTTCAAGCAGCGAGATCTCCGCATGCCCGTTCTCATTGCTGTGTTGATTCAGGTTCTGCAGCAGCTCTCGGGCATAAATGCGGTAAGTCTCGCCAGACAGGCAAATTCACCAGCAGTTTTTTTTTTAAACCTTCTCCTCTACCCCCAGGGGTTCATGGACTGGGCTGCCATTAATTTAGCTTTCTTGTAACAATTTCAGAGCGCTAGACAGCTGCAAATTTTAGCTGTATTACAGAGCTAGGCTAGATGCGATAGGTTAAATCTGTATCGCTTGCGTTTGGATTAAGGTATCCATTCGATTCTACTCCGGATGTCTAAGCAGCGGCTTCGTTGCGTGGCACGGTAGGCTTCTACGACACCCACCCACAACATGAGGTCAGGAACCGCTCTTAATGCAGATGGCTTTACACTAACTTAGGGCTAAGTTTATGCTTGATGTTAGAGTCAAGGTCAGGAATAGGGGTAATGTTAAGAATAGGATAGGGTAGTATGCACTCCTCCTGTAATTGAACGCATCTGCGCCGTCTGTATTATTGGAGGCATTGCTTGTCGCGTGTCTTGCCTAGGGGCGTGGGGTATGTGAACAATTCTGACCTTTTCAGCATGTATGCTGTCCTTCCTAGACAGTTTTAACTGTTGCCCAGCATTCATTAGCTAGAAGGAAATCCTGTAGGTCACACGATAATTGAGGACCCTGGTCTGTTCTGGTTGCGGAACACAGAGATGCACCCTCCCATTCCACCTTAGAACTGGGTTGCTACAGCCCATATAAGAGGTAACATAGCAACCACGGCAAAAGACATGGTCGTCGGAATCACCACTTCTGACTTATTTGCTTATTCGCTGTCTGAACCCCGTACCACCGCACGCCACGGTTCGAACCAGAATAAGTTGATTAGGACTGATTGCGAAACATAAACCACGAATGTCCATTCTAGTGTTCCTGTCTCTGTCCATAAAACTTTTCGGAAAGCGTGAGTTTTTGAAAGAATTTGCATTGGTTAAATCCGAATCCACGTTTGTCTGCAAGCTTTTACATAGGCCTTACGCGCTACCGCAAAATTATCAGGAGGCAGTAGATGTGCCAAGTAAGGAAACAGTCAAAACTGTGTACTGGGGTTAATCCTAGTATATTGATAGTTGAAGTGGTGGCAAGAGTGTCAGCCAGTCCGACGACCGGCCATCGGTTGAAATGCTAAGGAAAGCCCCAATTGTTCGTCAAGCTAGTGTACGAAGCCCGACTTCGCGGTCTCCGACGTATACATGTGAGTGAACATAAAGGCTCATGAAGCCCCTGACAGAAGAGAATTGCTGCC